TCCGAATATCAAAAATGAAAATATTGAAATTTGTTCAAACGCGCATGGGTAGAGATCATTACAATCCTTTCGTAGAATGATACTGGCTTTTTCTTTTCCCTTAGAATATCAGCGGATACACTTCAGGAAATCTGACTGTCCCATTGTTATTTCCGTTTACATCTGCATATCGCTCAAACAGCATTTTTTAGCTGCAAAAATAAGAAAGAGGCCATCAGTTTTTCAATTTTATCTTATAGGCAATCGAGCTTGCCTAAAAACATTACACCCTAAGAAATATGAGAGATCACCTCATAGTCCGGAAGAAAATGTGGAAGTTTTGTCTTCAACTGTACTGGCAGATCTCCCTACGAGATTTTTGAAGAAACGGAAGAGAGCAGCAAAAGAGAAGGCAGAACCCCTCTCCTTCCCCCCTCCCCCCCCCCCCCACCATCACTAACCGGTCAAACAATGGACCGCAGAATTTTTTAAGCCTTTGTGAGTCCATCATGCCAGAACTTCGTTTTTCTTTGTAAGTGCTCGCATAAATTTTTTTTGAAGTTGCAAAGCTTTGAAAGAAAAATCTATAGGGACCGACAAAATCTTTTCGGGTTATAAGCTTGCAAAAATCTGACTTCCAATTTCTTCCTTGCCAAAAAATTGAAGAAGTGTAAAAACATTTCTGTTAACCTCTAACCTTTATCCCAACTCTTCCAATATCCGTGTTTACTGGACACAGAAGTTCCTTCATTTTGGTCAAAACAACCTGGTTATTTGCAGTTTTTGCGCGAAATGCGCAAATTTGGAACGGCTCATCTTCGTCAACTCCAAAACCGTTTGAAAAGATTCGGGTATTCCCTGCGAACTGGAGCGGGATACTTTGGTTATTTTTGACATTTACTAATATGCAAAGCAATTCCATGACGTGTGATAGTTAAAGGTTGTATGCTGGATGAAACTATGTGAATTCCTTCAAGTAAATCTCAAAAGTTCTGAGCGTGAAAACTATTAGTGCAAAAAAAGTATTGACGCAATCTTTAGCAGAAGCTTAGTCTTCAAAAAGCTCATTGCAAAAGCGTTATTTTGAACTACGTCAGCGATCGTATCGAACGAGAAAACTGATAAACAGCAAAAACGATCTCGAGAATTGAATGTGGAACGGTAATTTGTCAAAATTTAGCCACCGCAGCTTGGTTTGGCTATCAAAGTAGGTGAGTGGTGTTGGGCGCTAATTGGCTCAGACACCTCAAAAACAACAAAATTTCAAGTTCAATCAGCAGTATTCATGATTCAGCTTTGAAGTATCGTAATGTATTAGGTCGGAAATAGAATGTCGTTTCTAAGCCTTTCGCAGCAAAACGGAAAGATACAAAAGCAAGGGGAAGTGAAATCTCAAAAATAAGTATATATAGACAAAACTTTTGAAAACAATTAATAACTCTTGAAAATACCATTTTCAGCATACAAAAGTTATCTAAGGTCCGCCTGAATAATGATATTTGGCTGACGGATAATCGTTTGACAAGTTTCTATTTCCAAAAAAATTTTTCAGAACCGTGCAGGAAATCCCAGATCCTCTACAAAATCAAGATCAAATAATCTACACAAAGGTGAGATACAAAGGTAACAAAAGCATACCTAGTCAGCAAGTTCGTGAAGTGTGAACATGCTGGCCTTCTTTTCTTTTTTACCAGCAGTTTTCTCTTTTATAAGGGGTATTCCAAAAGTAAGTACACATTTTTCAATCGGTAATAACTCTCTTCCCATATAGTATTTTGCTTAGCTTCAGGTACCACTCGATACACTAGGCTTTAGCTTAGATTTACCGTACAAAGCGAATCACTCGTTGTTCTTCATTACTGTAAGACTACATTAGGAAATTTCGCCATACAACGCCATTATGAAGTAAGCCGTTTCAAAAAATTTTCTCAGAAAATTCTGAAAAGTTGTGCAGAGTTGCCTTCGGGCATACTGAATACGTGAGACAACTTTTTAACAGCTTCTTCAAAGTTTCAAATGGTTTTCATCATATTTTTGGAATATACTGAAAAAAAACTGTCTTTTACCTGATAACTTGGTAAAAAAGTTTTACGGCAAGTGCAAATTTCCTATCCGTAGTCAGCTACTCAGTTTAGCCTTGGTAAAGTTTTCAACTTGTGGAGTATTCATTTTGGGGCAAAATATAGCCATTAATGGCGTAAATCTCCCGTCAAAGTTCCCACCGTAATCCCTCAGTAATGAAGAAAGTTGAGTGATTCAGTCTATATTGGAAAACTACGTTGAAGCCAGCTCCACCAAATGGATCTTGAAGCCAAGAAAAAGACTTTTGTGGGATGAGAGTTGTTACTTATTAAAAGGTATGTACTTACTTGTGCAACATCCTATATTTCCAAAAATGTACTTCGCCACTGTCTTTCACGCTGGTAATCTGGTGCCTTTAGCGCATAAAAACGTAAGACGAAAAATATTAAAGTTCCTAAAATTTTTGAAAATTCGTCTGTTCAGTACATCGTTCAAAAGAAAAGTCTAGTTTAGTTGTGGAACTGTGGAACAGTTTAAGTTGAATTTCTAATAAAATGTGGATGTGCATTCAAACTGTTTGATAAAATGACTATAAAGTAAGGTTTTCTTGAATGCAAGTATTTGTTAAGCTCTAACAGTGACGCAAACTTCACAATTCGGTATTTCACTTGTTGAAAGATTTGTTTAGTTATACTTGCTGTAAAACGAGTTATTTTCAGGTATAGAATGAAAAATCTACCGGTTCTTGATGTCTAGATATGGAAGGAATTTAAAGTTCTCTATATGATGCCAAGAAAAAAAAACCTAAGAAGTGATGATGCAAACGTTTCGTTTGCCGATGTCTAAATAACTTGGTCATACATCTATACGGAAGGTAGTAAAATGTCATAAACAAGAGCAAAAGTCAAGGACATTTGAAATTGCGATTTTCGAAACTTGAAGGAGATCTTCAAGAAAATAAATGGATCTGAAGCAATAATATAATATAATATAACCTTACTGTAAATAAAAGTCATAACGCCAGATGAATTCATTAATCTTCAATTTGTTTTACACTGAGTAATTCAAGCGAAAGTAAGAAGCAAAACATTCACAAATATTAGGTCGTTCCAAAAGTAATGTCGCTTTTCAAGCGTACGCCACATGTGATGGAACAAAGATTTCTAAGAGATCTTGGTAGCATTTGATGCAGCATTTCATTCTCTTTCTAACTCTTATATAACCACTGCACAAAATCTAATAACTTTTCGAAAAATTATCAAACTCTGCGACCCATGCTTTTTGAGAAGGCCAAGTTTCACAATTTTTCTAAATTTTTATAACAACCCTCGGAAAGAGTCCAAGTAATGGATGGATAGAGCAAACCCTACAGGAAACAGCAAAACTTTTTTCTACTTTCCAGAGCTCGTCATAGATTTTGTATAGATTTTTTGATGGAACCACCGAATTTCAGCAGACTCGTATCAGACACAAATGCATCAAACATCGATAAATCTTCGGATTTTAAAACTTACACAGATGGATATGATTTAACACTAATTTTACAACCAAATAAGTATTCACCGCTTCGAATTAGCAACTTTCGAAAATTCCGGGTACAGCCTGGGGCGCCCTAGAGAACTTGAATTATGGTGATTTTATCCCGGAAAACTTGATGAATCGGAAACAAAAAACAACTGGTAGAAAGAGGAGAAAAAGCTACGTCGAATGACACCCGAGTTGCTTGCCGGTTGTTGTTCTGTGAAGTTTGAGTTGACCAAATATGGAATTTGATGGCATTGAAAAATTGGTTCCAGAAACTCTAAGAAGCAATCTAAGGAAAAGAAAAAAAATTATTCTGTGTCGTGTAGGATTTGCTCTATCTACCTGTCACTCGTACTTCTTCGGAGAATAGGTACAAAAATTTAGAAAAGTAGCCGAACTTGACCATGGCAAAAAGCATGAGTCGCAGATTTTGGTAATTTTTCCAGAGCTCATTAGATATTATGCAATGACATTGTAAACATTAGAAAGAGAATAAAATGCTGCATCGAATGCTCCCAAGATCTCTTGAAAATCTTGATTCCATGAAATATTGCGTTTATTTGAAAAAAGCGACATTACTTTCGGAACGACCTAATATGTAGAACATTCACTTGTAATGAAAAATGAAATGGTCTTTGTCTAACCAAAATTTCCTCGTTTCCGCTTGTCTGGAAAAGCAGCAAAAATGGCCACAGCTAGTAAAGTAATTCTCTTCTCGTTTTGTCTTGTCTAGAAAAACAGTAAGCATTTCAGAACAAGCGCTTATTGTTTCTTTAGTGCATGACTAATGCATCAAATTGAGGGTTTTAGTCAATTTTTTTTCGTATTTTAGATAATTCAACGGTAAATTTACGATCTATTATTTTTACGGTAAAAAATAATGCATAAGTGAAAAAAAACAAAAATCTATCTGGAGACAAAAATAAATGACGAAGTGGTTTGGAAACGTAAAATTTCCTGTTCTATTCTGTGCGTAAATAAAGGAACAGCAATGAGAGACAGTGACGCTAACAAACTACAAGAAATGTAGTTCAATTCTGCTAGTTCATATGTACAGGACCCATTTTTTCGGGTCCTATATCAAAAAATTTTTTAAATCATCACAATTTATTAGTTTACCAAGATAAACAAAAATTCAAAGCTAAACAGGTTGGAAGCGATTAGAAATCGAAAGTTTTGTTTGTTCTGAATAAATTTGGATACTCACAAAACAAAAGAATTGGGGCATGCCCTAAAGCTAATCCAGATCACGAGCAACTAATCAATATGCACAGTTTGAATGTGTGGATGGACAGCGGACGAAGTCGAATACATTGCCGCTCTTAGTAGACGGTGTGTTGATTCAGCGTAATGTTATGATAATCGCAACTTGCACGGGGTCTTTGAGATGAACGAGAATAAATGAGAATGTGAGAGAGGGAAGATGAAGGTGGCAAGTTTTTCGTGAGAAAATCTGAGGAGAAAAGCGAACTTACCGGCAGCTACATGCAGAAATTCCTCCGCGGTTGCTTTGTACACTTCGATATACCTAAAATAAAAATTTGAATATCAAAAAATATTTGCAGCCTTCTTTACGAAATTTTCCTGTTTCAATGAGTCCATAGATTGCTCATGCATTTGCCCGGGTTGGTTATACTGTTCGCCGTCCGGGAGCATGAAAGTTTTTATGCTAGAAGTGGGCGTGGTTATGGGCGGGTGACCAAAACAATGAAACAAGGCAAAAGTGGGCGTGTTATAGACGAAGTTTTTCCTGTGAATTTACAATGTAATAACGAACAGGCGCATGATGTGCTGAATTATCAATGTAACCATGCAGTGCAAAAGTGGGCATGGCTATGGGCGGAGTTGCCCCAATGCTTCATAAGATTTCAATTTAATGCTTTAAGAAATTACTAGTTTGTACTTCCTCCAATAATTTCTATCATCCAGAAAATCCAATAAATTGATAAAATCGATACCTCGACAGCAAAAAGTGCCGATGCCGTTTTAGTGCTAATTCTCGCATTTCTGGAGTCTTGAACCGTACCAATGCTTCACCATTACGTCTACCTTCGGCTGAGAGGCAGAGCGCTATGCCACCTCTGAAAATAAACCGATATCTATGAATCATGTAGCGAAAGCGTAAGCTCTGCAGACAATAAACGTTTTGATTTTTTTTTAGGAGGTGGAGGATAGGAGCTTCGTAAAATAATTGTGATTTGCTAAATTATACGCAGATTCAGCAAAATGATCCCGGACCTTTTTAGAACTTAGTGTTTTTTGTTTCAAGAAGCGTCCAAAAGAAATGTGGTGCTTCTGCTTTCGACGCTGCCATGACGCGCTTTGGCTGCCTGCGTATCTTCCGCTCTCATGCACTCTCATCAATGATCGTCATAGAATCGTGCCGCGGCCGTGCACGCAGCGCACGCATTATCTGCGTCATTGGTATGTAAGTTTCACTTAATTACATAAATGAACCAATCACAGAGTTCCAACTTTGCACAAATTTTTCGAAAATTGCATTTTGCTCTATAATTTGTCCAAACACTTACGGTGCAATTTCCAAACCAGCAAAAAATTGTGCTACATGACAGTCTGACGCTTGCCATGGTAGACCTCGTGCTCTGACAACAACATCGCCTTCTATTTGAGTATCTCTGTCACTGAAAACATTCTCAATAATTGAAGTTGAAAAACCAAGCAAAAGAAAAAACTTACCAGACAGCGGGTTCAACACCGAGATTGACCTTCTCTAGTGCATTTGCGAGTTCATCTGAAAGAAGTGGAATAATTGGAATAAACGAGGAAGATAGAAGCTGTTATAGAAGAATTGGAAAACTCATTGGTCGAATAATTTTTAAAAAAAATGGATTAAACGAGGAAAACAGAAGCTCATATAGATGAAATGGAAAACTCGTTGATGTGAAAAGATTTTTGCCAGAAACAATTATCATCAAAGAGAATTTTTCTGAACATTGAAACATGTCCGGTTTAGAAATACGCTTTTCTATTCCTTTTTTTGAATTTCAAATTCATTATTACATTTTTTGTATCTCGCACAGTTTGCACAATCTGCAGCAGTGATAACAATATTTTTCAACAGTTTTACTGCATTGAATCAACAATTTTCCAGAGATATTTTAGGACATGATTTTACTTTGATATATCCAATATGCCTTTTTTCAATGGAAAAATGGAGTTGCTTTTTCTTGCATCATCTTCAAAATGACACAATTGATCATCACAAGTATTTTTAGTATCTCACGAAAATAAAACCTAAAAAACCTAAAAATAAAACCTGGTTGATGTCGGATGTTTGTTTCCTTCACAATTTCAAGAGCAAAAATAAATTCTGCAAAAATCGAGATTTCCAACAGCTTGGATGGCAGCTAGAGCATGCTTTCCATTCTTCAAGCCTTACAAAATTGCCAATATATTATGATTGGAAGATTATACAAATCAAAAACTTCGGTGCAGAAATTTTAAATCAGTATGACATTCTAAAATAGCAAATTTGCTTGCACTGATATTGAGAGCATATTCCTCTACATATTAGATTTCAGTAAGGTGATAATTACTTATACAAACTTGAAGTACTCATAATGCGAAATCTATAGAGATTATGGTACATTCGGTAACAGCGACCTAGCAACAAAAAAATAGTAATCGAAAAGAAAAAATTTTAAAGAAAATAGGGAAATAAGGTGGGATAGCCGATTAGGTGACAACTGTTGACAATAATTTTTTCGATCTTCGAAGCAGGTCAAAAACATCATTGAACGGTACACACTAACAAACGTTATTAACATGATGTATTTATTATCAAAAAAAAATTTCACTTTTTCCCGTTTCTGAGCGATTTTCACCTTGACTTTTGGCAAATATATATATATGTGTATGAGGCATTTCTGAGAAGTATCACTGATTAGGGCTTCGTCCTCCCCCCCCCCTCCCTGCTCCTCTAAATCTCCTCTTCCCTCTTCACATATTCGTCATACAATTCTTTTTTCTTGTCCATAAATTCGCCCCATTTCCCAATGATGGCCGCCCGTCGTGCGCCACATTCACATGCTGATGAGAAGGTCGACACGATCTACAGCGAGATAAGCCTTGGTCTGAGAGATGTAACGAATTCCCAGTTCTTAGATCCCCACTTGGGAAAGGAGTATCCTACATGACTACCTTACCCTGTAAACAAACCATAATTTGGGAGAGGTTCTTCGTTTTGCGCGACGTTCGTTGAAGAAGACGGATGCCATACACTAATTATCGAGGATAATTTGCACGTAAAGTATTTACTTGTGCTAGTTGTCCGGACTCTCCAGTTTTTTCGGAAAGAAATTAGGCGTGAACTAGACTAGTGGGTAAGCACTAACCAATTATGCTTAGCTAATTATGGCAGGAAAAAGATGAGAAAAGATTTTAGAAATTGTAGAAAATCATAAAAAGTGAAGATGTCCATAAAAACAGAACATAGCAAACTGATTTCTACCTTTGCATGCGCTAATAAATAAGCTAATAAGTTGACTAAAGCTTTTCAAGTTGCTATCATAAGATACTATGCTTTAACAATGCTGAATGAAACAATCAATAAGTGTATTTTATTTTACATAAAAATTTGTTTGAAATGTACCTAGACCATGCAAGGCAGCATTCCTATATTAGAGCAAGTGGAAGAATGCATAAATTGCAAGTTTGAAAAAGCAGTAAAATATTCAAAAACAAATAGAAAAAGAATCATTTTAATGTGAAATAATAATAAAATTCTTTGGTAGATGGTCATGGTCTTCCGTTCTCAACCCCGGAAAGTTCTAGATTTCCAAACTGTTTCAGGAAAAACAGCCATTTATCTATGAAAAGAAAGTAATGAGACTGAAATGAAACGGCGATTTTTTTTTATAAAATCCAGAAACAAAGCGCAAAAGCGCATTGTTAGGCATACTTCTACCAAAAATGTACTTCATCTACCTGAAATGAAAACCTAACATCATGTATATTTTTGTCACTCCCCCCCCCCCTCTGTTAAAATTCTCAACAACGCGGAATTTACGAAATATTGCGGACTTTTTTCACTGGCGCCACTTCACCTTGTCCTTATCGTTCCTAGCAACTCACGACTCCTCTTGACCTAAATTTGCGCTTCCTATCGCCATTTACCGAATCGCAGCGACTTCCTGGACCGTTCGAACTCATCCGCCCCCGTCTAACCCCCCCCCCCCCGCTCCCCGCGTTGAATATTTCAAAAAACCCGCGTGACCCAGCAATGCAACTCTGAGCTTTGTGAGATCTCTCTTTGGATCTATTTTCCCTCGAGTCCAAAGTTTACCAACCGCGGGTTACTTTCACAAAGTCGGGGTGGGGGAGAGGGGGTTTGGCTAGGAGGGTGCGAACTTGAACGATGGCTTGAGGTTTCGAGGGCGACGCCACGGACGTCAGCTACGCCAACACGCGAATCGGGTCAGCGCTACGCACAGCCTGACACCTTCTGTTTGCACGACGACTATTTACTCGCCACAAACATGCCGCCGGACACATCATGAATCGCGCGCGCAGCCGCACGCATCGCACGCGCGTTTACGCCCATCACGCGCGGCAGCATTGTCACTCGGTGCTGCCGCGCGCGCTATGCTAACTCAAAGCAGTGAAAAAAGCTTGGGAAAAAGCTATCGGCATGAGGAAGTGCAGAGCAACCAGTGTTTAGAATGTGCAAACAAACTTGCATGATATTTTGGCTGTCAGTGTACATTTATACGGTAAACCTAAGCTTCTGAAGAAGACCAAACAAATGGGACAAAACGTTGTCGCCCAACTATTTTACTATTGAACTCAGTCTCTTCAAATGATTTTTTGTACTAGGACCAATATCTTGAAAGGAATAGACTAGTGGATGATTCAGCAGATTTTTAGGCCCTTGCGAAAGTTTCTTACGGTATAACCGGCTTGGATATCCGTTGTCTTGTGTTACTCTCTCTAAAGGGTTTGGAGCTTATGTCTAAATACTTTGGGAGAATCCGTGCGTCAACTTGAAAACTGTGCAATTTTACGACAATCACATTATGTGAGTTTCACAATCGGTTACGGTATGACTACGGTGGCCACTTTCGTCGTAACACGATTGTTCCAATTGTTGTAACAACTTTAGCTAATTATTCCTTTAGAGGTAATCTGCCGGCAATAAGTAAATCAGATAGATTTTATTGATTGTTTGTGAACTCAAAATTTTTTTGAGTTTTTGGAAAACTAGCTACGGAAATATCCGTCTGAACATCTTATTCATCTACTTTTCATATTTCAAAGACTTGCCGACGATTTATGTCTCTCTTTTCTAGCGTGAATTATATTTCAACAAAAGTATATTATGCGTCTATTTCACTAGTATAATTTGCTCTTAAATATATCCATAATTTGCCATTCGATAAGGTCAGTCGTGGTAACCCCACGTGAACAAACAAATCGTGTTTGATATACATTTGCAACACCATTACTCACATTAATAGAAGATCGCTAATCAAAATTGTAAAAATCCTATTTCTGTTGAATAAAGAATTTCAAATTACTCTGAGGGTCACTTTCATCAATCAGTTGTATCATCTACACAATGTAATCTTTGGCCATAGTGTATTCAAAAGGCGATCGACCGTGAATATCGTTCAGCGTGCGCAAAAGATAATATCAAAGGAATTTAACTGAGCACCTGAATAGAGCTCGAAATGTCGTAGGAAAGAATTTTCCCACTCAGACAACTGAGCGGAAATCCGCAGAACGTTTGGGAAAGTTCCGCCGGGTTACCTGCGGAAGTTCCGTAAAGGTGCTGCGGAAGTTTTCAAATGAGGTGCTGCGGAAATGCCGAAGAATGCGAAAAACAGCAAAAGAGAACACCTGAGCATTCAGCGAAGATTCAAAAACCTGCAGAAGCACTGGCAGGTCAAAGTGCTGCGGAACTGCTGACATTTTTCGGAAATTTCGCAGCATTGTGTGACAAGCCCTGCGGAAGCTTTGATTTCCAATCGGTCAGACGTGCAAATCCTGCGGAAGTTCCATTTTCAACGTTTTGATTTCTGTAATTGTAAACAAAATCCTGCGGAATCTCCGCAAAATTTGCTTGTCCTGTGGAATCTCCGGTAAATTGTCTGAGTAACGTTTCGTGACGTTCAGCCTCGGCATAACAGTACTTTCATGTAAAAGCGATGAGTGTGCAAGAAAACAACAAACTAGTTGGGACGATAAGAAAACTAGAAAATTACGTTTGGGATATTCCGCTGTTTTCTGCCAAAGTATCAGTTGCTAATCGGCAACAAAACAAATGTTCAAAATGCTGGTATGTCATTGATGATGCAATAGAACTAGTATTACCAGTTTCTCCTCAGTTAACGGTCTGTAATACGATAGCTGGGAAGGAAAAAAGTGGAGTAACAAGTTTTCGTCATCATACCTGATAAAAAAGGGAAGTCCCAATTTTTCGAGTTTTGTAAGTAGCAAATGATTCACTTCGAATCTGGCGTTTGTAGCAAGATTAAATTGAATCTGATTCAAAATAAACATTACTGAGGGGTTAGAGAGGTTTTTGCATAGCTTGCATAGATTTATAGATATGTCAGATTCAATTGGAATTTTTTTGGTATTGCGAGGCTACCATAGTAACTTATCTTCCCATCTCTGAAGATTCATTTTTCCCAAAGAGAGGTTTCAATTTCAAGAGGTTTTTGTATGAAAGTAAAGCCATGCTAGTGAAGTATAAATGATTTTTGGAGTACTTTGGAAGCTCTAAGTACAAGAATATGAAGAGGATTTTCAGACACGAATTTATATATTAGATTTTTCTTTGGAAATGATCAATCCTAATTTAAAAATTACAATGGTAATTCTAATGCCCATATATGGGCAAATACCCGATGAGTAAACTACATACAAAAATGTGTAATATTTACACACTACTTACAACTCAATGCTGAATAATGAAGATTCTCACTCACCGAGTAACATTTTTGCAAAAATCAATATTATTTGATTTGTGCGATCTGGGTTAGATATGTTTCTGCCAAATGAATCAATTACTTCCTTTTTTGTGAATATTTTCTAGAACTTCAGTACTTGTTCTGTACCGTACAGGTTTTACATAGTAATACCAGTGGCGGACGGAGGTGACCTCCCCCCCCACGAGAATGGGTAGCGAAATTACTGAAGTTTACTTACACGGGTTATAAAAATGTACAACTGACTTGTTTATTCTTGCAAACAATTAAAATTTTTGAAATTTTTTGAAAATAAAAATTAGCCTTATGAAAAAAAAATTTTCCGGGGACATGGCTGCCGCCACCCTCCCTTTTTCTAAATTTTAGGGGTTACGGGCCCGCAAAATTTGAGAAGCACCCCGAAAAAATTTTTGGAGGCGTGGCTAACACCACACACCTTCATTTGAAAAATTTTTGTCGCCCCCCCCCCCTCCGCGGTCCGAAATGCTGGGACCGCGACTGAGTAATACCCTTTATCATTCACATTCACATGCCCAGGTTAATATGAAAGGACTTCCAAGATAATTTCATAAAACTATTTTTTATCTCAGCATTTTGGCAACAATCAACAATTTCCTGTTAACTGTACTTTTATCGAAGCATGTGCCACTGCAATCTCTTTTTAGAAATTTACTCCAACTACTACTAACATTGTGTTTCCTTCTTCACGTCATATGTCATTTTCACACTATTCCGTGTCCTCTCAAATGAGTCATATTCAAGAAGCTCTGCAATTACATTCATTAAAACATCCCTCCGTTTACGAAACGTGTATGTACGTAATCGCGTCCTATATACCTAGCAGTTTTCTCCGTGACGAGTTTCCCTGCGCTAATTCCTCTTTCTTTCACTTTTTTCTCTCGCTCTACATTTCCATTAGATCGCAATCTACAGGATCTTCATAACGGTAAAGGACAAACAGCGAGAGGGAGACAACGAAGCTTGCGACCCTACTCTAGCCATCGTTTTTTCTTAAAAGCAAAGCAAAGGGGGGGGGGGTCGAACCGGCTTCAGTGCACCGCTGCTGACCACAGCAATGTCATTAAACGAGTGGTGGATTGGCTTCTGCGCGAAAATTTTCTTCGCGTATCCGGGTGCGAAAGAACGGGCCGCAAGTGCAGAATATCGTCCCGACTACAGTTTCAATGGTGATGCTGGTGGTGCTCGTGGTGGTGATGGTGGTGGAACGTT